GGTGTACATACTCTGTTAGTAAGTGTAAATATCATCAATATCAATTTCACCAATAATTTCCCAATTTTAATATAATTCTTCTTGTTTTCCAAATCAAAGAAGCACATAAATATCCCATAAACACATAAGTAACTTGACTTTCAATATATTAAGAAGTTTCAACGTTGTCCCTCTGTTAAATGCATTCATACAAACCTAACTATCTTGGCTTTGTTTAGCATTTTATCATATGTATGGAGTTTAAGTAATTTTTTTTTTTAAAAAAAATAACAAACACAAACAATTACTTTGGTTTGCATGTATTTAGCTTCCTGGTCAATTCAATCCTTAAAGAGGTTCTCTCAGCAATCCAAAAGGGAAAACCAGGGGCCTTTTCTCCTGGAAGACCTACAGCATTCTTGAAAAATTACAAATCAAGCCTAGATTAAAAAAATTAAATTTATTACTTTGGGCTTTGTTTAAAAGGAAAGAAAAAAAAAATTAAATTTATGAAAAGGAAACCTAGGAGAAATTATTCGTTTGCCCAGCCAAACACCAACACAAACATATAGAAAAACATATCAGTTTAGAGCAATCCAAATACCTAAAAATATAGAAACCCATATCAGTTTCTTGAACATATAGAAAAACAAAATTATAACCAGAGTGTTTGAGGATCCAAAAAATACCTAAATCAAAATGATTGAGAATCACCTAGAATACCTAAAAAACTCCATAGTAGATATTACCACCAAATGAAAGAGAGAACCAGAGTGTTAACAAAGTTAGCCAAATTCTAACCAGAGTGTAATATGTAGATATATAAACCCAGATGATTCCAGAGTGTTAGACCAACATGATTCCAAATTATAACTCAAATATATAAACCCAAATTCTAAACTAAAATTATAACTCAAATTATCAACAATTGAAGTATTTGCATGTGAGAGTATTTAATTAAAAACAGAACCAGATAGAGAGAAAATGGCAAAAGAAGAAAACGAAGGGAACAGAGAGAGAAGGGGAATAGAGACAGAAATATTACCTTGCACAGATAGAAGTCTCAGGTTTGGTATAGCTCTGAAGTAGCTCTGTTTCACCAAATAATAAGCCATGAACCATAAACGGAAATGATGATAAACCAGAAACCATGAATCAACAATTTAAACATGAAGCATAGAGAGAAAGAGAGAGAAGGAGAGAGGTACCGGAGAGCTCCAATCGGGGTTCGAAGTAGTGAGGGAAAGCAAAGACGGCGACGGCGGCTGTGGTGGTAGGAGGAGCGAACTCGGTTTCGCGGTTCTTAATCAGAAACCCTAGCCTTCAGAAAGTGAGTGGAAGGGTTGCGAATTGAAACCACTGACAGAGAATGGGGGAGAGGTAGAAATCGGGTGGAAGGGTTGCGAATTGAAGCTATTGCGAGAGAAGGGAGGAGAGGTAGAAATCGGGTGAGAGTGAAGGAGAGAGGTAGCATCGGGAGCGAGAGATAAAGAAGAGGAACAAAGAGGGAGATAGAGATAAGGAGGGAATGAGAGGAGACGTGCAACATAGAGGAAGAGAGAGATAAAGATGAAATGAGGAGAGACGTGGGTAGGTGGAAGAGGGGGAGAGCATCGAGTGTTTGGGCGGGAATTAAAGCATCCTCTCAACTATTGATGATTATCACAATTGATTTGAGCCCTTAAAATGAAATGTATCTATGATACATTTTATATATTTTCAAAAACCTTTCTCCCTTATTATATAGATATATAAATGCATCCATTCAAGTTTTAGTGTTTTTTTGTTTTTTTTTTCTAAACCTAAAATGAAAAGGCAAAGAGAAATTGGTTTTGATGAGGTGGCAGATTTGACAGTCTGTCAAATCTATGCTAAATTTAACATAAAATATAAGCGGAAAATTTTATTACAATAATGATACGTAGCTCGAAATTTCCAAACTCGAATTTACCTCGAATCCAAAACGACGTCGTTTTAAACGGTAGTTTCGTTTTTCGAGGGGGTTATTTAATGAAAATTATCTTACCGGTAATTTAATATATTTTACCGGTAAGAGAATTCAAAACGACGTCGTTTCGGGCAGTCGGGAGATTCGGGGAAGAAAGATTCGGGGAGCAAAACATTTTCCATTTTATTATACACCCCCTTAAAGTGTGTATCATATGTACATTAACTATGTAATTTTTTTTTTAATTATAATTTATGAGATTTTTAGTTATATTTTATGTAGTGTTTAATTATGATTTTTTTTTTAACTTTTGACTCAAAAATATAAAATTATAATATTTCTTTTTTAATTATAAAATACACATAGTATACGCACTTTAATCTTTCCTAATATAACATTGTCAAAATTTAACTGCAATTAACAACTGCAATAACAACTATATTGAAGCCCAATTTTTATATAAATTGCTATGTTATAACTATAGCACTTTTATTGACTCAAAGATGTCCAAACAACCCTATATTACGTAGGTGTTTGAGATAAATTAAAAAAGTACATTTTTTGTTTATTTACATATATTTATTTGTGTCATATCAATTAACATCTATCAATATTACCTCTCTATTTTTCTAACCACTTTCTCTATTTTTCTACACATTTTTTTTTATATATAAAAAGTTAAAAAGTACACTTATTTAGAACATCCCAAATCATCCCTAAAGGTTTAAAGTTTAAAGTTTCATTATACATTCCCCCTTCAGCAATTTAATTTTTTTAAATACCAATTTTTGCCGTCACTAGGTAAATTACATCGACACCCCTCACATTTTAGAAATTACAATCCCTTCCTTAATGTTTAAAGTAGCATTACGAATTGTCCCCTCGGTTAGTATTAGTTGGAAAAAAAATTAATTGAAAAAAAATTTTGTTGGTAAATTTTTTAATTTTCTGTTTAAAAACTAACGTAAGCTCTTTTTTTGAATTTATATTTTTTCCTCAAATTTACAAACTAAGACAACCATTTATAAACTAAAAAAATTATCAAACAAGTTTTTATGACAGTTTTTTAAATTTTGTAAATATAAATTGAAAATTAAAAACTAAATGGTTACCAAACAGGCTTTAGATGGTAAAAATGTCGTAAAATTAACAAATAATTAAATAAGTTATCAATGTAAGAAATGAATTATCAAAAGATTTTTGGGCTATGTATGGTTTGATTTTTAAATTTTTTTTTAAATTAAAAATTAATTTGGCTAAGAAATAAAAAATAAAAAATAATTATCATTTTTATATAATTTTTATCTTTCGAGTGGTTAGAAATAATTTTTTACAAATTAAATTAAAGCAACCATACGTATATATATAACCTATCCAAAAGTTAAAATGATAATTATTTTTTACCCTTAAATGATAATTATTTTTTATTTCTTAACCAAATTAATTTTTAATTTTTTTAAAAAAAATTCTAAAAATCAAACCATACATAACCTAAGAATCTTTTAATAAGTTATTTCTTACGTTTGTAACTTATTTAATTATTTGTTAATTTTATGACATTTTTACCATCTGAGGCCTATTTGGTAACTATTTCGTTTTTAGTTTTCAATTTATATTTATAAAAATTTTAAAAAATTGTCATAAAAACTTGTTTGATAATTTTTTTAGTTTATAAATGGTTGTCTCAGTTTGTAAATTTGAGAAAAAAACACAAATTTAAAAAATGAATTTACGTTGGTTTTTAAACAAAAATTTAAAAATTTTACTAACAAAATTTTTTTCAATTTTTTTTTTTCAAATAATTTTTTTTTTCAATTAATTTTTTTTCCCACTAATATTAACCAAGGGGACAATTGGTAATGCTACTTTAAACCTTGAGGAGGGGATTGTAATTTCTAAAATGTGAGGGGTGTCAATGTAATTTACCTAATGAGAGCAAAATTAATATTTAAAAAAATTAAATTGTTAAAAGGAAAAATCTATAATGAAACTTTAAACCTCATAAGGAAGATATAATTTCTAAAAGATGAGGAAGGAACTGTAATAAAGATAAATTTTAGGGGTGCCAGTGTAATTTATCTTAAAAAATAAATTAAAAGTTGATATTTTAAATTTTTTTTTGACAAATAGTACAATAAAATAAAATAAAATAATATGACTAAAAAAAATTTAAAAAACTAACTTTCACCACTAGTGCGCTTTAGATGTAGTTCTCGTGAGTCGGACCGAACCGTTCACGAGTCACGTCACGACACGGACTTTAATACTGATATTCATACCCTTTTAACTCACTCAACCCACTATTCAAACTTGCTTCCCGCTCGTTCCCCTTCCCAAAAAACCATATAGTCCAAAAGTCCGATTCTCAGATACACACCCACCCAAACAACAAACAATCAAAAATAGTTACCGTTACCTCCCACAAAACCCACATTTTCCTGTATTAGGGGATCCTGGTTGCTGTCACTTTTTATTTATTTATTTATTTTTTTTTATGGAGTATATTATTAATATAAAAAATTAAATTAATTAAAAAACTACAATCTTGTAATCAGATTTTAATTGTTTTAAAAAAATTATCAACATCATGTTAATCTTTTATTTTTTAAAAAATAAATGTGTTTTTGTTACGAAATTATAGATGTTCAATCAATTTATTTTTTTTACATAAATAATCTACTCAACAAAGTTTAGAATATAAATAATTCAAATTATTGAAAAAGATTGGAAAAAAACACCATATTGTGATTTAGGTCTCGTTTGGGACATATTTTTTTAATAACTTTTTAATTTTTTTAACTAAAATATAAGTTAAAACAAATTAGTATATTTAGTATGACTTTGTAATTTTTTATGAAAATATGTGTAAAAAAATAAAGAGAAAATAAAATTTTTAACTTTTTAATATAAATTACACATGTTTTTAAATTTTTTAATAATAATAATAATTTTTTTTTAATTTTTTTTTTTGACTTTTAAACTAAAATTATTGGATGTGAAAGGAAGCTTACTGTCCCATATTCCCAACGTTCAACACATTTCCCACTGCAAATTTTTCAAATTCAAACACACCAACTACCATAAAAGACACAAAACACAAGACCCAATTCAAACCATCTACTACAATAGTACTGGTAATTGCTATGTTTCAACTTCACTTTATTCAACATTGAACTGTTTTTCCCTATCTCTCTGCCCATACCATGGTGTCTGATTTCAAGAATTCTTCAATTCCGCGCCAATCTTCATACAATTTCCTCTATCTCAATCCCCTCACTGACCTCAAACACAACCGTAGCTCCAGCGATGGCGGCGTTGCTCTCGGCGCCCGTATGTGCCAAAACCCCGTTACCGTCTTTGATGACAAAGAAAATGCAGTACCCAACAATGGCTTTTGTGCTGTGGCCAAACAGATCCCTAATGGGAAGGCTTATGTGAGGGATAGGGCATTGAAGCCATCTTCTCTGCAGCTATGTATGCAAATGAATGAGCCTGATTCGAATTTTGGGTCGAAGATTTGGGACCCGGTTGGCTCGGATAATACGGGTTCGGTTAATATTTGGGATTATTCGGATTCAGAGGCTGCTCCTGCTTCATCTTGGTCTACATTGCCTAACAGGTAGTTTTTGTACCCTTTGAATTTGATTTATCAGGTATTGTTTGCTTGATAGGGTCCATTTTCGAAGAATTTTCGTTTAGTTAAGTTTTTAGAACTTGTTTTTTGAATTTCTTTTAGAAAAAAACAAACACAAAAAAAATATTTTTTTAAATTTTAAACATTATTTCAGCTTCAAAAAAAGAGAAATCATATGAAAATAATACTAAGTGATTTAAATTTTTTTTCTTCACCAAACATATTTTGAAAATTCAACCAAACAAATGTTTTGGGATAATTGGTGACTGAATATGATATAATGGTAGCAGATTTTTGGTTCAAGGAAATCTTGAGTTCAAGTCTTGTCACCCCATTTATTAGGTCTGTCTCAATGTATCTTGTTTTTCACTCCACTTGCGAGACAGGGCTGCATGTAAAGAAGAGTGTTAGCATGATATACCTTGTTGGGCTTATTACTGTCATTGTGCACTCTATACTGTCTATCTTTGTGCATCTTGTTTCTCGGTTTGTTTGTCTCTCTACGTGACGGTGTTACACCTAAGGGGTGAGTGCTAGCTTGATATACATTATTAGACCTGTTGTTGGACACATTTTTTAAACAACTTAAGTTTTTCGGACAATCAATTAAGTCTTTTGGGCAATTTGTGACTTTAATACATGTATCTACATTTTATCTAGAACAAGAAGAACTATGCATTAATTTGGTATTTGTCGCTCTGTGGTTTCAGGTCATTGTTGTGTAGACCTTTGCCAGTGGACATTGGGAGGTGTACTTGTGTGATAGTGAAAGAAGCATTGCCAGAAGGACTAGATGGGGGGAATCTCTACTCATTATATACCAATGTAAGGTCTTTTCTACCCCTCATATGGTGATTTTATTGGATTTCTTGATATGCTTTTAAAGGATTATCATTGCTCTTACAAAGTTGTCTTATTTTTCTATTCTGTTTTTGTTTGACTAGTAACTAAGCTGATTTTTTCTTCATAAATTGATAAATATGGTTCACTGCCTTTATTTTAGTTTTCAATTATTTTTCATCTTCATTAACACAAATTAGGCAATAAAACATAAGCCCCAATTCTGTAATCACAACCGTAGGTTAAAAAAATGGGTTTATATAAGGCCAAGGGGTCGCTTGGGTAGTTTGAAAAATGGATCAGGTCATGTTCATTTCCGCTAATTAGATTTTATTTTTTTCTTTTTATTTAGAAAACCACCGCATTTTTTGATTATTTTGACCCTGTTTTGGGCACTTTTTCGAACAATTTCGCATATTGTTGAAATGCGTTTATATGCACTTAAAAAGTTTTAAAACCAATTAAGTTGTGGTCTCCAGAACCAATTTTGCCTATTCCCAAACTGGCCCTAAGTTTTCTTACTTTGTTCTTGTGTTGCTTTTTTACAATATTTTGATATGCTATTGAAAACTGATCAACAAATCTTAAATACAGAATATGTGTCAAGCATTGAAGCACTCTTATCTATTTTGGTTGTGGGATGGTTTAAACATATACATAATGTGGATATTAAAATGTTCCAATGTAAAATTTAATGTATAAAGAGAAATAGAGAATTGTATAGATATTGATTGTATTATTGATTGATTGATTATGTTTACAATGAGTCCTATATATAGAAGAGTAGAGTAGGTAGGTGTGTAGTAGGTGGAGTAGGTGGTAATAGGTGGTAGTGATAGGTTTTAACATATACCACCTACTACCACCTCCCTACCACTACCACCTACTACCACCTACTCCACCTACTACACACCTACCTACTCTACTCTTCTATATATAGGACTCATTGTAAACATAATCAATCAATCAATAATACAATCAATATCTATACAATTCTCTATTTCTCTTTATACATTAAATTTTACATCCAAAGTTGTCATTCATATATCTTGAAATGGTGATGCAATTTCAAATTTAGACATGATATAGAAGTATTGGGGTTTGGAAAATGCTTTTTTATCACATTTTTTGTTCCGAACTTTTTTGTCTTTAGTGAACTTTCATTTTTTATTTTATTTTATTGCTTTTTAGGTCCTCTTAGACTAGAAGGTGCTGAAAAAAGTCATATTTCTTGGCTTTAGGTCCTTCTAGTCTATAGAACCTTAAACATAAAAAAATGACAACCAAATTTGAAAAAAGTTCACTAAAGACAAAAATGTTCAGAAAAAAAATGTTGCTTAAAAAGTATTTTCCAAACATTATTTTTTGAAAAGCCAAACTTCGCAATGTTGGACAACCATGGTTCTTCCATTAAGAACATAGCATATGTAAAAAGAAAAAACTATAAATGTTTATTTTCTCTCTATCATATGTTACTTTTTAGTGAAAGAACTACCTAACATGGGACCAAGAAATATTTTTTAATGTCTTAAAAGCTTGGGAAAATGAACAAAATAAATAAAATGAAACATATTTTGGAAAGAAGATTAAACTACTTTATTAAAATGCCCCAAAGGTCTCATTCATGTATATCTTGAATTGATTCAGTTTCAAATTTAGACAAAAACATACGAAAGAAAATGGTGCTAATTGCTAAAAAAGCATTGGCCAAACATTATTCTCATAAAAAGCAAAAAATTTTAGTGTTGGACAACCGTTTTTCTTCCATTCAGAACATAGCATATGTAAGGAAAAAAGGATAAATGTTTAACTTCTCTGTATCATAAATGTTTTTAATGGAAGGCCTACCTAACATGGGACTATGAATATTTTCCCCTGTTTTCAATGGTTGGGAAAATGAACAAAATAAATTGAATGAAACATAATTTGGAAATAAGATTGAGCTACTTAAATAGTAATGATTAGTTTAGAGACTTGTAATAATAAAAAAATGGCACAGTAATTCCTTAGGAAGGAATCAACATGAGGTATTATTTTATGTTTTTCACTATAAGTGAACCATTGTAGGAGAAGTTGTAACATTAAAGCACTTAACTGTAGTAAATCAATAACAAGTGTCATGGCGAAAGAAATTTGAAATGGTGATGCAGTTTCAAATTTAGACACTACATAGAAGGCTTGGGGTTTGGCAAATGCTTTTTTATCACATTTTTTGTTTCGAATTTTTTTGTCTTTAGTGAACTTTTTTTAAAAAAATTACTTTTTTTGCCTTTTAGGTCCTCTTGGACTAGAAGGTGCTTAAAAAAAAAAGTCATATTTTTGGCTTTAGTTCCTTTCCTTCTAGTCTAGAAAACCCTAAACATAAAAAACAATGAGAACCAAATTTGAATAAAGTTCACTAAAGACAAAAATATTCAGAAAAAAAATGCTACAATAAATGTATTTTCCAAACATTATTCTTTGAAAAAACCAAACTTCACAGTGTTGGACAACCGTGGTTCTTCCATTAAGAACATAGCATATGTAAAAAAAGAAAAAGTACAAATGTTTATTTTCTCTCTATCATATGTTACTTTTTAGTGGAAGAACTACCAAGCATGGGGCTAAGAAATTTTTTCTAACGTCTTAAATGCTTGGGAAAATTAACAAAATAAATAAAATGATTTATATTTTGGAAAGAAGATTAAATTACTATATTAAAATGGCCAAAAGGTCTCATTCATGTATATTGTGAATTGGTTATGCAGTTTCAAATTTAGACATGGTGTAGAAATCTTAGGGTTTGGCTAGGTCTTGGATTCAAGTCTATCCGTTTGCATATGCTCCTTGTTTGCATTCTCTCTCGTTGACATTCTTGCTTGTATGGTTTTTTGCATCTCTACATGCAAGATGACGTGAGTGAAGGTGTTGGATTAACATACACAATTGGGCTCATTTTCTAGTAGCTTAAGCTTTTTAGGACAATTGGCGACAACACTACTATCCCAAAATTGTGTATCATTTACTTGTGTTAATGACTCTAATTGGTTTGTATCAAGAAACAAGACCCCATTGGAAAATAAGAGTTTCATGACATGCAATGGAACAAAATTTTGGGACAAGAGATCCTTATTTGTGTTAATTACTTGTGTCCTTCAAACAACATAAATTTATCGGTTGTTTGTTAGAACATGAATTTTGTTGGGTAATTCCTCCTAATGGGGGGTCTCACAAAAACACTTTTATGAGTCTATTATTATTATTATTATTATTATTATTATTGTTATTATTATTTATTAATGAAGCTTCTCGAGGAAGTTTTGTATCTACCTGCCATAAAGGGAAAAAGGTGACTTTTGGTCTTCTAATTGCAGCAGCAGAATCACAACAGTAAGAGAGGGAGAGTATAATATTCCAAGCAATATGTAAAGCCAAACACCCTAAGTGAAACCCAACCTAGGATAATTTTGTTTGTTGTTAGAGCTGATGGGTTGTGTTTGGTTACATCCATAAACATGTTTGGAGTTGGGTTTTAGGTATCCTAGGTTAGGTTTTACTTTATATATTGCTTGGAATATTATACAGAGTAGTCCAGAGAAGAAGAAAAAGAGCTTGGATTTTCTTCAATCTTTCAAGCCAAGATCAGATAGTCACCTTCTTTTTTTTTTTTCTTCTTGTTTTTGGCAAGTAGATACAAGACTTCCTTGAAAAAGCTTCACTAATAAGGCCTCATAAAAGAGTCTTTGTGAGACCCTAAATCAACAAGTGTCTTTGTGAAAGTCATTAAACATAATGTTGTGTAATTCAAATAAGGATCTACCATCCTAAAACACATTAATGTCATGGAACACTTCAAATTTCCTTTGACGACATTTATAATTTTTTGATTTGTCATTTGAAACATTAGGAAGGTCAAGGACGACAAGATAGGAAACTTGCTGTAGCTCATCACAGGCGCCGTAATGGAAGATCAGAGTTTGTTGTAGCACAAAATATTAAGGGAATATCTTGCAGTTCAGACGATAGTCTGATAGGGATTGTAACTGCTAACCTTATCGGTTCAAAATACCATATTTGGGACCAGGTACTTAAAAAAGCTAACGATCATGTCATGAATATATCATCAATGAAAATGAAATATCAGATTTTCCCCCGTTACTTGTGGCTGATCATACATTTGATTGCAGGGTAGCCGCATCAACTCCCAATCTAAACAGTCTAAACCTCCACTAGCAGTTGTGTCGTAAGTGTTTTGTTTTCCCCTCTGTCTCTCTCTCCCATTTTGGTTGTAAATGCTTATTTATTCTCTTTTGCTTGTATAGATTCGTGCCTACCATAACCACCTGGACAGGAAGCTACAGAAGCATGAGGGTATGGGTACCAAAGCACCAATCCATGCAGCTAAAGAACACAACTCAGGTATCTTAACAGAATGAATTAGGAATATAATATTCAAAACGTTTTCGCATTTCATGTAATTTCTAGTTGAGTATTGCCCTTAATTGCACAAATTGGGAGTGGGGGCATATAAAAGTTTCTACGGTTGGGAGCACCTGTGGCAGATTTAATATATGTTCAAATATGAATAAATATTAGAGATTGAAATTGTCTTTGTTAAATCTAACTAAATATATTATATAAATAGAAACTATTAGGAGCAGGTTTCTTACTTGGGAGCATGGAATTGTTGATTAAGCAACGTCACCCAAGTAAGAATTTGCTGCTATTAAGATATTGCCAATGTCCTTGTAATTCAGTGTATTTCATGTAGCTACTTTGATGTATCAATTGCAGATACAACATATTAGTGGACTACCGAAGGATTGGGAAGGGAAAATGGACAAAGTTCACCAGTTATTCTCAAGAATTCCACATTACAATAATGTAAGTTGGTTGAGGGAGAAGGGGAGGTGCTTCTTCGTGAACCAAATTATGTTTGATCACCTCATTCTCGTATTTGGTCTTTTCATTGTTGATGTTGTTCCTGCAGATTTCAAAACAATATGAACTAGATTTCAGAGACAGAACACGAGCAGGACTTAGAGTCCAGAGCTCCGTGAAGAATTTCCAGCTGATTTTGGAGGTATTGTCAACTTCATCTGAATAATCCTCATCATTTTCATTCATTCTTTTGAGTGTTTACTAGAAATGCTAATATCCTAGCGATTTTCATTTCAACACGCATGGTCTAGAACATAGTACACTTTCATTCTAAAATGTCCTAATACCCTAGCCAAAAAAGCCCAAATAAGTGGTTTTAATATATCAATCTTCACTGGGAAGTAGTACTAACTTAATTTGGTGTATTTAGAAGAATGGAAGGCAGACAATCCTGCAGCTCGGGAGAGTGGGAAAATCGAAGTATGTAATGGATTACAGGTAAATAAGAAATGCCCTTTTCTATGTAACTATGTTACATTGAATGCTTCAAATAACAATAAGCATATGTCTAAAGGCTAGAGTTACGACAAGAACATTAGGAAAGTTTTAAACTAATGATTGAATTTTGTGTCGCAGGTATCCTTTGACTGCTTACCAAGCATTTTGCATATCTTTGGCTTCTATCAATTCAAAGCTTTGCTGCGCGTTGTGATTATTATATTCTGCAGCTGTCTTTGTAGTTCAACCTCTGAACACACAGATTTTGATTCCTCTGTTGCTGTTACAATTTTTGTGCTCTACAATTTTGAGCTTGACATGTAAGTCATTTGAGCAGATGGGAAAGAGAGTCATCATTTTCAGGAAGGTTGTCCAGCCAAACATGTAACTAATTGTGAACGGTAATATGTATTTTTTTTGTTGTTGTTATTTTCAAATATGTTCTTCGACTTTTCTAATCAACATGCATTCCTTTCGTGCACTCGAAATTCTTGTATTATCAAAGTATTTTGGACCCTTGAACTCATTACTTTTCTGGTAATTGCCTGCACTCGAAATTCTTGCTGAGTCATTACTTTTCAATGAGTTTGTAAATAGTTTAAGTTGAAATGATGTACGAGTGTGAAACCATGCTATTCTTGTTAGCTCATTCAAACCCTATTTTGTTTATTGCTTTAATATCAACCTTTTTTAGCTTAAAAATCTTTATGTTCTTTAGGCTTTGTTTAGCAAGAACTTTTTTAGTCTAGCTTTTTGGCATTTTGGTTAATTTAGCCTTGCTAAATTAGTTCCGTTTGGAAAAAACTTTTGGCTTTTTTTAGAAAAAAAGTGAAATGATTATGGTTTGAATATGACATTTTCAAATTCAAGAGGGCCCATGCCATAACTCACTCTATCGAGCTCTTATCGAAGATGCCAAGTTCCTCCTGCAAAGATGTTGTTGCTCACTGAGGCACACACCAAGAGAAGGTAACAAGTGTGCTGATCAACTTGCCAATATAGGTGTGGCACAGGATGAACATGTGGTGGTTCTTGATGATCCTCCTGAAAATCTGCAGGCCCTGCTTATAGCTGATATCACTGGTGTTAGTGAGAGGAGAGTCTAGTTTCCTTTGTGTTTTGTAGACTCTGTTTCTTTTCTTCTGTTTGTTATGAACTTCCTATGAATAAAAAAAAAAGAAAAGAATGTGACATTTTGCCCTATTAATTTATTTAGTCTATTTTGTCTTTGTATACTTTTGTAGTTCCACTTAAGTTGCCAAATGGAAGCTCAGTGTGGTTTGTTACTAACAATCCACTGGCTTTAAATCATTTAGCACTTTATTGCATTGTTTTAGTGAAAATTTGATTTGGTTGTGGAAGTCTTCCACATATTGTTGGAACATTTTCAAAATAAATTTATATATATATTTAAATATATAATATAGTTATATGAATAATTAAAGAGATGTGACTTTTGAATTAAATTAAATGGTGTAACCATTGAGCTTAAATAAAAAAGTGTCTTTTGGATTTAAAGCATGGGGTATAACTATTGCATTTAAATCAAAAGACATGACTCATGACTCTTGGATTTAAAGGGTGTCACTTTTGAATTTAAAGGACATGACCTTTAGTTTAAGGGACACAAACCCATGCCTATATAAAGGCAGAATGGGTTGGAAATTGGATAGAGATCATCCATATGAAATCCATAGAACATCCATGGAATTTCTCTCTAGCATTCCATATTATTATTTTCCTCTATACTTGGTGGATTAGAAAAGTCCAAAAGTATTTGGGATTTGATTTCGTTTGTGCATAACTCAGTTTGGAGGCAGATTCGCAAGTAACCCGGTGCACACCATATTTGACAGAATTTGTGAGGGCAAATATCGTCGTAAGGAAAGTGACGTTGTAACGCACTTTGAAGAAATGGAAGAAAATTTGCACCAACAATCTTAAGACGATATTCTCGAAGAGATGGAAGAAAATAATTGTTTATATGGAAATAAAATTAACAATAAAGTATTGATCTAATTTCAATATTTAGTGAGGTTTTAATTGAAGGAATTGGTTCGGATATGGGAACACTGTTCAAGTCACTAAGTTTTGCCCCATGTTAGTTCTAATATTGGGTGGTTCTTTCATTCAACTTTCTAGAGGGACACTCTATAAACGGTTGAAGGTAAGTATTTTTCTTCTAGTAGAAAGGTATGCATTTTCTATCTGTGCAATTTTATATGATGACGATAATGAAAATCAGATTGCCAGGTAAGTTATTTTCTATTATATTTTGGAAATTAGTATGATATGAATAATTGTATGCCTATATTGTTGTTTCTTGGATAAGAAAGTGTGTGTCTATAGTTGACATGTAGGAAAATTTTCTATTCACATGTCATGAAAGAAACTGTTATGAACAAATTATGCGTTTTTAATTATAATTGTTGTTTTAAGTTTTGCTTTCTTTATTGCATGATGAATATAATTTGAACATCAGATAAGTTCATAATTGATATGAAAACTATGTTTGCTTATAATTGTCATTCAAAGTAAATACTTTATTTGTTCAATGTTAGGATATCTAAAGTATTGGATTTGATAGTTAACAGTGTGATCATATTTAATTTTTAGTATTGTTGTTTCATGTGAACAAAATGCAAACCAGAATTTATTAATTTCGGTTGTCCTTATTAGTAATAATTATCCTGTTTTGTCTATTATTACTTTTATGTTTTGTGTTTTTGCAATACATAAGTTATGCAGGTTTCTTTGCAAGTTGAATTTTGCGAAGACAAAGTTAATTCCATTGATGGCTATCATTGTCGGGGTAGATAACCCAGCGAGATAGAAAATGAAATACATTTTTGCTTATTTATTGACAGTTGCTTTTGTATTTGAAAAGCAGTGGAAAGTATAGGTTTGAAGGTATGTATAAGCAGGTTTTATGCATAGAAAATGCTGTAATCCCGCCTTGCGTCCATGTTGATGTCAAAAAAGACTATTGCATTTAATCACATGGTTCATCATATGGACAGAGGTTTGGGCCACCGGCTACGACTTTTTGGGTTTTAATAAGGCCCATGTACAGTGATCTAATTGTAGGTTTAATAAGTATCATTTTTGATCAACAATAGAATCAAATTCTTTGGATCATTTGTGTTTAAATCCATGTATTGAATTTACTAAAAAGCCCAAATAGTATTCTGAATCTAATAAATCCTGAATCTAATAAATCCATTTAACGGATTAAGGATGAGACTCAAAAACTGAACTTTCAATCTTGTTTTTGGATTTAAGAAATAGTTATTTTGTGGAAGTTTTAAGAATGTATTTTTACAATCAAATTATGATTTTAATTATAAAAATCATGTATGATTTTTGGTTTGTGAATTCTTGAAACTTGAGAAAATATAGAGTATATGTTATATACTTGGTAAATTTTCTGAATAAATAAATTAGAATTTCTAATTTATGTAACTTGTATTTGAATGGAAATTTTATATTGATTGGTCAATTTATAATTCAAAACAAATACAAACATAAATAATTTAATTTTAAGTATTGATTGTTTAAGTCCCAAAGATCTTAAGTATTGATTGTTTAAGTCCCACAATTTAATTTTTCAAAGTTATTGAGAATGGTTAGTTTATATGTTAAAGTGGGTATCCGGTTAATTGAAAGGACACATAGGTGTCTACTTAAACACTTAGGCCCCGTTTGGTAGAGCTGTGGGAAAGTGATTATACCTTATAACTTAACAGCTTATAGCTTATAACTGTGAACATAAGTTGATTTTTGATTTATAAATTAAGCTTCTCTTCCCCCACTCAAAGAATAAGTTGATTTTTGACTTACAAAAAGCTATAAGCTGTATTGTTAAGCTGAACCAAACACATCAAAATAGTTTAAATTAAACTAAAAGCTGAAACAAGCTGAAAATAAGTTCTACCAAACAGGCCTTAGCATGAAAACTATGGCTTAGTTTAATCTCTTGTAACAAAAGAGATGGAGTAACATGGTAATTTTGTCACGGATTTTTCTTGAATTTTTCAAGATGCAAACTCATCATTAATATGGGTTGATAGTTATGATAGTGATTGTTAGTTCGGACATATTGATCACGTCATAAACTGTGGTAATACATAGCAGTTATGTAAGAATTTTGTCCACGTGACTGTAAATTATCTTAAGAAATATTTGCAAGGGATTTGATATAAGATCATCAATGGTGTAGACTTGACTTTCTTCGTGCGCCCCCCTTTCGGAGAGACGCGAATTGGTCTTACTACAGTTCGGACTCCTGTCACGGTTCTGAATCTAATCTTACAAAGTGCAATGTGAGACTGATAAACACCAAAGAGTCCAAGTTTGGCAAATTGGTTTTGGAAAATCAATTTTGAATGAAAAAGCGCCAAACATGGACTGCTTTGCCAGATTACAGAGTCGCCATCTAAATATTTTATTTTTGGAAAATTTAGGAAACCCTGACTCGTGCCAAAGGCCACGTGTCCGTCATCACCAAAGTTGCCTCAGCTCGGGAACTTGGATACGAGAGAGGAAAGTCCTGAAATGAGTACCCCTGCTCGCTCGATCAAAGGATCGACCTCTGCTAAACATGATATGTTGTTTTATAAACCTCATGTGTTCTTATTCTGATTATTAGCTAACTTTATTATGTGACGCACACATATAAGTATAGACTAAAATCGCGAGAATTGGAACAAAACAACTCATGTTTGTTTTCGGAAATGGTTTGAAAATGCTACTCTCAAGTGGGCTAAAGTGCAGATTCGCCACCAAACATGATGGGCTTAAAACATGATTTGCCACTTCGCAAAGTAGGCTTAAAATATTCATTTTATCGAGTTGTTCCAATTCAGGCAATCAAGCCTTCACCCACTGGCATTCATGCAGTTAAGCAAGTAAGTAAATAGCCTCATGGCAAGCATGCTATCATGGCAACACTCACATTCATGCAAATATGTTAAAGCGTAAAACTTACAGTGTACTCCAAGCCAAAACAAAAGCTAGTTAGAAATCATGCATGATCCTAACTATGTAAGATGCCTAATGCAACACATGCAACTAAATAGGCTCGGCTATCTAAGATGGCATATGAATGCAACAAGTGATACACGTATTCAAATAAGTATTGAAATACGATGCAGTTTGGATGATGCGTTGAGCCCGGTGCATGCAATACAAATGAATGGATGCAAACATTCAAGCATAAGTTATGCTAATTGAAAATGACCCTAAACTAACCATCGAAAGCGGTTAAGTAAAAGGGAGAAAGACGCGGGGTTGGAAGACATGCACACACACACACGCACACTTATTACAACAATATGCCCTCGCGAAGGAGGGTCCGAATAAATAAGCTAAGCTACACTAAGCTAAGCTAATTATTACAAACTAATTAATTAACTATGCTAAGCTAATTAATTATTACAACACAAATTAACTAGCCATGCTAAACTAATTAAAATATTACAAAACAGATTAAACTAATTAATTATAATACTTGCATTAGTTAGCTACAACTAGCTGATAAAG